AGGAAGCTACTCATTCACTCATACGTACATGCAATATCAATATCAACGTACATAAGTGCAATATCAACACTCTACAATACAAATACTTCTTGCCTCATATGTGCACTAATGTGTATTATATTGTATTTTTAGCTTTTGTTGTCTTTTTGCTGTTTACTTATTCATCATACCTTCACTGTCTGACTCTTTATCGTTCCTGTTTAGTTTTTATTTGTCTGATGTCTCTTGTTTCACGTCCACTCTGCTGCTGTAATCCTGTAAACATCCCGGCTGTTTGGACTAATAACGGATTATCTTTTCATATCTTTTCTTCTCCAGGTGGGTGAAGTTTGAGGAGAAGGTGGAGGAGGGAGGAGAGCGATGGAGCAAGCCTCATGTCTCCACGCTGACCCTCCACAGCCTGTTTGAGCTCAGGACCTGTCTGCAGACGGGGAGCATTCTGCTGGACCTGGAGGGCTACTCTCTGCCACAGATCGTGGGTGAGTCCACACAGAAGGTCTCCACTGTTGATCCACTGATAGTTCCCATTACTCTTTATACTCCATGAAAATCAACTTTGCAGACACTTGAAATGTGGTTGAAAAGACACACAAACTTGGTGGTGCATTAAAGGCCGAAATTGGAGAACAATTAGTTGGTGAAAGCATTGTCGTGATTGGTTTTGTTGTCCCAAAATGAAATGCAAGCAAGCAACCAAAGCTGTATCCTAATCCCACATACTAATAAATTACAACACGTACTTTACAAAATGTCTTAGAACTCTGTTGTTTCAGTTCGTATACGAGAAATCAATTCGCTGTTTTGTGCTAATAGGAACATTCTGCCACTACCAATTCTACTTTAAGCATTAATTGATTATTTTTTGGGCACAACTGAACAAACTAAAAACATAACATTAAATTATTACTTTGGTATTTTTTAACTCTTCTCTATTTTCCCATGTTTTTTGTGTCGCAGTGACTAATTGTTGTTTATTTGAGGTAATAAATCAAGAGAGAAGTAGAGTCATTTTCTCATAGACTTCTATACAACCAGAGGAGTCGCCCCCTGGTGGACACTAGAGAGAATGCAGCTTTAAGACTTGAAGCGTTGACATCACTCTGTAGAACTGGAGCTTGTCTCCTGAATAAAACAGAGAAGTCTAGTTTCTCTCAGAACACTTGAATTAAAAATGCTAAAAGAATTCTTTGGTATTTTTTCTTAATGACGCCAAAAGGAAAACCTGCCTCCTCTCACCCGCTGCTCAGTATCTGACCCTCAAACCTTCTTTACATGCAACGAACAACGTTTTCAAGAAAGAAATCAAGCAAAGTATCAAGTGCCTGTTTATTTCTCAGTCCGTGGTACAGTATAGATGCATAACTTGTTCATTCATTCTTTTTCATTTAATCCAGATGAGATCGTGGATCGACAGGTGGCCGACGGTCTCATTCCTCCGGATCTGAAGGAGAAGATCAGCTTTGTGTTGCTCAGGAAGCACCGTCACCAGACCAAGAAGCCCATCCACCGCTCGCTGGCAGACATAGGGAAGTCCTCCAACGCTGCTTCCAGTAAGTTCCTTCGCCGTTTTAATTTATTTCAGACTACCAAGTCTAACCTTCTAATTACATCCTAATGCTTCCTGTGGTTTCTGCCATGTTGATCACCTGCTTCACCTGAAAAACAATCACCTCTTCTGTGCTCATCGGTTTCACTTCTTCTTCTGCTGCTGCTGCTCGGTCAGACCGTAGTCCTCAGGTTAATCTGAGTCATAGCACTAGTTCTGCTTCTGGGACCAACCGCTCAACAGAAGACCTCCGCTCTCGGCAGCCAGGCAGCCTTAGCCATATGCGTAAGTCTCAATACACACACTCACACTCACACTCACAACTTCCTTCCTACATTTACAAGTACTGCACTTAAAGGTGTAATGTGTAAAATCTGTACATGGCCACTTTGGATTTAATCCAATAAAAAAACTGCCAAAAAACGTTATGTCACAGTAAACATAAAGATGGTTAGTATAAGCTACAGACCACCGCTGCTGATTAACATTATAAGACAACAGATTTATGGTGACCGACTGTCAGAGTTTTGCGTTTTCCTGATCTGCTGTTTGTTTGTACATTTGTAGCTGTAACATTAGACTCTATGGACTCAGGTGAAATGCTGCTCATTATGTTTTTGGAGCACGTGTTCAGGTGTTGCATGTGTTCAGGTGTTGCGCGTGTTCAGGTGT